AGAGAGAGAGGGAGAGAGAGAGAGAGAGAGAGAGAGAAAGAGAAAGGAAAAATAATTTAAAAAAATACTGTAAACGCGGATCGTTGAAGCAAAATTAACGGAGTATAATGTAAATACCATTCACTTTTCTTTTTTAGTAGCCGTGTATAATTTCATTGTCCGAAAGGCGCACATACCATTACTTGTACCATACTTATTGCCGCGCACTTCATATGTACGAAAAATTTTACTTACGTTACTACTGTAACGATGATCGTCTCCATCAGTTATACCTTTTTTTTCTACAAGAGCTCGGCGAAAGAAAGCAAATCGAGACGCGTGTTAGATTTATGATGTTCTCCTTACTGCCACTAGGTGGGAATAATTAATATAAATATATAAAATAGAGGAATGTGTAAAGAAATGGAAAGAAAATCAACAACAAGAAAACTAATGGTACATAGCAGTTTTGGTACAGTATGATATTTTTACAAATTGTAATCGGATAAGCCGTAATCGAAAGATAATAAAACAGAAGAATAAGATACACCAAAGAATAGCTCGAATTTTTTTTGTAATTAACACTCAGGCTTTGTGTTTCTTCGTTTCGTTCGAAAGATGCGACACTGGCATCAATTTTCTCTTCCTATCTAGCTTTACGTTAGGTGTAACCGGCGCGATACTGGCAAGCCCTTCGAAGCGTCGAGCTGGTAGTGTATTTACAAAATTAAACGATGAAAAGTGATGAAAGTAAAAGATGTCTGAGTAAACATTATTCCCTATCGTTTTCACTTACATTAGACAGGGTAGTTTGTCATTGGAAATGCAATGGAGTGATCTTTTGTGCAGAAACAAGTTGAAAATTAATGGAACTGAATGAAAATGAACAACATTTTTCCGTACACAATTTCATTCTCAAAAGAATTGAATTTGAATATTTCTTGAGTGCGCGGATTTTAAGCAAGGTTTGGTTAATGCGTCTATTATGTATCGTTCCTAGTTAATGGAACACAAATGTCTCTAAAATCACGTAACACAAGACGGAATTAAATTAATCATTTTGGATTTATTCAAAGACTATGAAATGTTACAATTTTCCATCTTTTTATCAATCCTTATGGGTAGAGATAGATGTTTAATTATTTTCTTATTTTAATCACAAAATGTGGATCTTTTTGAACAGAATTTTATTTAGACCTGAAAATTATTTTTAATTTTACATGATTTGTGTTATTTTACATGGTTTTTCGTAAATGGAGTCCATTTTAATGAGTTGCATGCTAGCATTTATTTTTTTAAAAACAAACATATCTTTCTTGATTGTGTCAATGATAACGCACCAACCTGTATATAGGGATATATACATATAGTACTATGAACATTTATGATATGACCTTTTTAATTTGTCAGTATCTTTTAGTAACGTTTGTATTAGATACGAAGATACAGGATTTATATAATTTTTAATTTTGTGGAGGTGAAAATGCAGAGGAAAATGACAAAGATTAAAAAATGAATTACGTAAGACGAGTACCTTGAATGATAACATGCTGCGATTACATGTCATTTGACCCATTGTTCCATACGGTAACTATAATTTCCAATTGATCCAGTTAGCTGAGTGATTTTATGATCATGAATGCTGAAATAGACACACCTTAGGATGAATGACCTCAATCCAATGAAAATTCCGTTATAATAAATTGATTACAATATTAGTTTACATTAATGTAAATATTATGATACAATAAAATGCAAGACTTATTATTTATTTGAGTGATAGAACTGGCTGAAAAGTGAAATGACAAATGACTAACTATGAAAACTAGTTAATCCTGTCTGAATAATGATTAAAAAAATGTCTTATTTTCACTCGAAAGGCAAAATATGTATGAAGAGCCGGAATAAAAAGGAGAATTTCCATTTGGAAAATCTTTTTGACATGTATAACTCGAAAATTTTAAGTCACAATTAAAATTATATGGATTTTATTCAAATTTAGACGACTTAATGAAAATAAATATCATTCCGCAAATTTAGTAAAGTACTTCTTCTGTTTGAAAAATTTTGTTTTAAATTATTTACAAACTAACTAATATGCTAATATGTTTCTAAAAATTAAGACTTCCTTTAATATTGCAAATTTGCTTAAAATTTAGTATAAAATCACAACTAGATTTTGTATGCAAGAGCCTAATATCCGGAAGCAGCGTTGATAATGGAAGAGGAAAAATTTAAATAAGTACTTACTTATAAACGTATGTAATTTTAAAGTTATTCGATCACATTGCTTAGATATGTCTTTAGTCATTGAAATATTGCTTTCTTTTATAGGTTCAGTGATTATACAGTAAAGTATTGACTTATTTATGCTTTATCTCGCGTTCAAAATATATTATTTAGATAATAAATTCGTCCATTTCCATCTAATAGTAACCAAATAATATTCACTCTAAAAGCCTTCTAGAATTATCCTAAACCATGAATGCAAAGTTTGCAAAGAAGAAATTTAACACTGTGTTTTATTGCAACGTTCCAAGATTACTTTGTAAATCCAACATAGTAAGTCCTAAGTATCGCCAGTAACAGAGGTGGATAAACGAAGAAAAATGAATTCAAAGTTATTAGTTTCGATGGAAACTTGTATCGGGTCGTTTTAGATGTTTCATAATCGTTTCTTATAGTTTCAATTTTAATAAGTCCCGTGCTGGTGTAGGTATAAAGGGTGGATTG